TTTTTAATAACTAATTATGGGAAATTTTATGTGTTCACTATGAAAAGCTATGAAAAGGTATACAGCAAAATATTAATGGATCTCTCTAGGTGTTGGGCTTATCAGTGATTTTTCATTATTATATTTTAATGTTGTTTGTGTATTTTTGAACTTCTCTATAATTAACCTTATTTCTTTTGCAATAAACAAATACAGGGCAAACTTTACTTAAGATGAAAGGTATTAAACTGGAAATAACATTTTAAACTGAGGGCAAGAGAGTTGGTAAATGGCTCCATTTACTTTGTATATTCTGCCATCTTTGCTACCTCCCCAGATGTGTGCTTGATGTGAACTGCTAATCTACAGGCCAGCAGAAGAAGGGGTGATGGTTGCTGGTATTGAGCGAGGCAGACTATTTGTCCACACAGAAAGGTTTCAACCTCATGGAATTTGGAATACTTCACAGAGAGGTTGTTTCCGTACAGTCTCTCTTGGCCTCAACTTTAGTTGAACAGCTCAGTCACTGTGGAGGGAACCTAAGAGATGCTGAAATTTCAAGATGTCTTGTAGGAGCAGTATGACTTGCCTAAAAGTATCAGTCTTAGTATTTCTAGAACCAACCATTGTGCCAGGGTTTATGTAGAAGATGTCAACGTACCTCTAATTGATGGATTTCCTTTCTATCTCCCTTCTTTCCTTCCCTCTATTCTTCCTTTCCTCTCTGATTTATTTAGTCTTCTGATACCTTTGTAGCCATTACTAAATTAATTAACTCTTGTAGAGAGACTGATTGGTAGCTAAGAGTTATATTTATCATCATAATGAGAAAAGCAGAGAAAACAGAGAGTTGCCCCCAGGTCACTGGATAGTCAGTTGGAATTCAGTTCTGCTTTTACCTAGTCTTATTGAGAAATCACCATCTTCATCATTTTTAATAATTAACTCTACCAAATTGTTACCACAGGTTATCCCACCTCCTTCATATCCAAATATAAATGATATCCCGGGCCCATTACTACAGGCAGCCACTATCAGTGAACCAAAGCTCTGTAACAGGCAGGGATTTTTAAATAACCAATGATTATTGACATTGAATGCTTTGTTAGCAGTTTCTAAGGGGTTAAGTACAACAAGCTAAATGTTCAAGTGTTCCCAAAAATGGGCTTAGGTATTTATCAGATTCATACATATGGTTAAATTATCCCCTCTTAAAAGTGATATTAAATTCTGGGGGACCAAAGTTTCTGTTTCCACAGTACATTATAAATGTGGGTTTAAGGTTGCAAATGAAAGTTCCTGAAACTTCTCAGCATACTATGGGGCTTCCTCTGACATCCAAATGTGAATTTGATTCAGACTGAGGTTATTAAAAAGACACCATGTTGGTCAGGTTGGGGATGGAAGGGATTCTTAGCGGAGTCAAAGGTAGAGACAATGTCCAGGGTCATATTTGAGAAGCATTTTAGAGGGTGACTTTCATCTCTGTTAACTTATTTTATTCTCTTGAAGAGTTCACGTATATCCATGGCTCCATTTATTACTTATAAACTGAAAAAGACACCCACGTCATCATCACCTGTCATAACTCTTCTCTGTACCTCCTCTTTATTTCCCCAACTACCTGTTGCATATTCCCTCTTTGATATTCTCTGCATCCTTGATAGTTCAAACAGCATTTTTCATCTCCTTTGACAAACCTAAAACCTAGTCTGACTGGCCTGCGTGTCCTTGACAGCAGTATTCTCCAAAATATTCTCTCTCATAAGCTCGTGGTCATCACTGGCTCCCTTCCTCTTTTTCTTACACTCCACAGAAGTTTTATTTTATTAGTTCTTCCTTTACAGGCTCTGACTTTTACATCTTTCCATGAACTCCCTTACTTAGACCCAAATCCCTTCTTACCTGCACTGTTGAGATAAGATAACCTTGTCACACGCATTTCCTGCTTGGAGCTCTCCCCTGCTCCAATATAATTCACAGCCCCAGAAAAGCCTGAGATCAACTCAGAATGATTGAATCCAGCTTGTTAGGTTAAATGTGGAGCCAACAACAGGCTCTAAAAAGTTTAAGTCAAAGCTTTTATGGGCATTCTCCCCCTACATGTTAAATGAAGGAGGAATTGGACTATTTCTTGGGTCTAAGCAAATAGCTATTGAGTGAACAATAACAGGAAGCATATTTTAGACCCATGTTAGAAGAGCCTTTTGTGGATTCAAGCTGTAGTATGGTGGAACAGTACTCATAGTGGGTTCCCTGTCCCACATAATCACTTTTCAGGGATGTTGTAGCAAGCTAACACACTTCAGACCACATGACCATAAAGGTCTTTTTAAGCTCCATAGTTTTACAACACTCCATCCCTCCCTCTGCCTCCCACCTACTGGGATTGTCTGTTCCTGCTGCTCCATACTTCCCCCATTCCAAATCCTACAGTGAATGAACATGCTCTCCTTCCCCAGACAGATGCTCCCCTGCTCACCCCATCCCATGGTGTTACAGTCTAGCTTACTGCCACCTTGGCTCTTAAGTAATCTGAAGGCTAGATTTGCACATTGAATTCCTTTTATGTGCTAGATTCTGTGCCCAGCATTTTGATTTCTGATTTGATGGATACAGTAGCCCTATAAAAATACTATAGTTTCTTGTTAAAACAATTTTAAAGAAGGGGAAACACAATAATCATATAAGTGATAAGCTGGGATTGAACTAACGTTTTCTAACTCCAAGTTCTGTGTACTTGAGAAAAGAAACAAAAGGAAGGAGGGGAAGAGTGAAGAGCCCCTCACCCTGGACTGGACCGTGGGTTGTGTGGGATAGGAGGGCGTACATTGAAAAAGTACATCTGGCATTTTTTTATCTCAATAAGTGTTTAATTGTATGTGTTGCCAGCAACATTTATAAACTTTGATGTTTAAAATAGATACTGGAGCTAACAAAGAGAAAAGAGGAAACTATAATATATTTGATTAAAACATAAAAGAACATTTATTACAGTGCATTTTTACCATATACCTAGTCATCATGTAAAATAGCAACACCTATTCATGTTCTTCAGTATGAGTTAGATTAAAATTGCATGAATTATTTTTAATTTTAACACTATGTTTTAATATGCCTGGCTTTCATGTCATATGCTGTGTAATCACAGCTTTTTTAAAAAATCAGGGATGCTAATAGTGAAGTACTAATAGGAGGTAATGGACATGCCTAGCACTCTGTGTTGCACATTATAAATGTTTATTGTACTTGAGCATCTGTACCAGGAATGAGGTGAAAGGTCATGTCATTGTTTTTGTTTTATTCCCTAAAATAAGTAACCACAAAAATTTTCAAAAGCATGTACCCGATGATACAATTCTACTTTTAGAATTCTATACTCACACTAATTTAATCAGTCCCATATTGTGTATGACCCCATCTTTGTGAGCTGAAAATTAGAGAAATTAGAAGAAGAAAAAAACAAAAACCTAAGAGTTGTTGAGTTCCTACTGTGTGCAGACACTATAGGTTTATGTACTTAATTTTCAGTTAATACTGAGAAGTAGACGTGTTCCCTCTCTTTTAAGAATAAGAAAACTAAGGCTGATAGAGGCCAACTGCCTTGTGCAAGATCACTTAGATAGGAAATACCTGATTTGGAATCTGAACTCGGATATCTCTGGCTCCCAAACTCATACTCTTTCCAACATACCTATGTTGGATTCTGTGGAAATGTCTGAGGTGGTGAGGGGGGCTGAATGGGTGGAGTTCATCTCCCACCTTCACTTCAACCAAAGCACCTGCTTTATAATTAAAGAAAGAGTTAACCATTCTACTACATCATACATTGGTATGGGAATTTATAATTAAAAAAGAATTTTCACATAGGTCAATAATATGTACTGATAGGTTGATGTCTCATTTAAAATGAATAGTCTATCATTAACCATCAGCCAAGAAGACCTGAGTGGGTTGGAAAAGGCACCCAAGAGTCATAAGCATTATTTAAATGGATTTAATTTGGAATTTTGCAAAGAGAGGGGTGGGGAGGTTTGAGATAATGAAAGTCACTTAATCCTGGGCCAGTCTCAACTTCGACTTTGAATAAGAATTCACGAAGAATGTACTCACAAAGCTGGATGCAACTGTTGGAGTCAAATGTTCACAGTGTAGTATCAGCACAACTTGATGTTTCACTGAAGCTACCTGACAAAACCTGGACACACCCATGAGTGCCTTCTCACTATTTTAAGAGAGGGCTCCTGGACTTTAATCTATCTGACTCATTTGTTTGTTTCTTTATTCATTCATTCACTATTCATTTACTTTGAAGGTAGTAAGAGAAAGTTGACCACAAGAAACTTTGCCCAGGGAAGTGAACTGGAGATGAAACCTTGAAGACACTCACTACACTAAATCACATTATTGTGGTTGGTGTTTGTTTTCTTATTTATAAGTGTGGAAACCTATAAAAATGTTTGAGTATTCTTTCAAACCTCACATACTTTTATTACTTTAAGGTATGGGTAGGGGTGATATGGAATGAGTGTTAAATTACATTTCCTAGTGGGGGGAATGTAACCTTTTCTCCATTACCCTTTTCTCCATTTCTCCATTCTCCATTGTTTTATGGATTCCTGTCTCTTTCTATAGAGTAAGCAATGAAGTTTCTTGTGACAAAGGTTGAAAAAAATCACAATATTAGCCCACAAATGGAGATGAAAGGAGACTAGACTTTGGGTGGTAAACACACAATGCAATATACAGATGATATATTATAGAATTGTACACTCAAAGCCTATAAAATTGTATTAACCAATGACACCCCAATGAATTTAATACAGTCTAAAAAGAAGAAAAAGTAAAAAGTGTATTATTTATTTGAAAAGTACCCAGGATCAAACTTTTTTAGGATATAAGAACCCAAGTGAACCCTGGACGGTTTCTTCAGGCAACAGACACCTCTGACTAGAGAAGTGTATGTAGTATTTTGCTCAAGATTTTATCTGATTCTTATTTTATTTTTATTCCAGTTGCTACATTGATGGCCGAGTTGTCAAGGTGATGGACTTCCTGAAAACTCGCCTGTTAGATACACTCTCTGACCAGATTAGGAAAATTCAGAAAGTGAGTAAAAGTCCCCTGGGAAGAAGAGGAATCAGTTTGGGGATGAGGCAAGGAAAAGGTCACTGGGGCCCAGCTGAATGGCAGCACTGTGGGAACAGAGTAGAAAAATAGTTAGTCCGGGTTTGCATGGTCCAGAGCTCCCCTTCACAGTTGACAATTGTTTATTGTTTTTCAAATGGAGAAGGGTTTGAATGTGATATACCAAGGTTCAATAACAAATATTTTGTAGTAGTTTGCTTCTAAATTGTGAGTTTCTTAAGGATAGGTTTACTTTATTTTCTTTTTTAAATGCAGGGGTTTATTTGGGGTTAGGTAAAGAAGAGGATGATTACTTTTATTAAGTGAAATTTTGATCTGGGGAACTGGCAATTTTGAGCCATATTTACACTATTTCTAAATGTCTTAAAACCAGCCAAGTAACATCTTACTTTTGTAGAGATGTGAGGAAAGCCATATTATATTCAGCTATTGCATATAGGTCCTATTAACAAGACACCTTTGGTCAATAGTTCTCAAACTGAGTACAGTTAAATCACCAGAGCTTGCTCAGGAAGTTATTCTGACCTAGTATGTGGATCCGAGACATCTCTATATTTAATAGTTTTCCGTTAAGTGATTTTACCCAATGCAGAACACATTTTGAAATACACTGGATTAGTTAATTCTGAACCATGGAGATCTTATGTCTACAATTTCCATCTGTCTCTACAAAATGGTGATTTCACATCTTTTGTTGCCTAGTCGGGTCCTTTTCCAGGGGATGGGGACCTTTTGAACACTTAACTATCCATTGATCAGATTAAACAAATCTTTGCAGAATAATAGCAACAGATAGGCCCCCATTAATATGGGATGAATAAATAAGTGAATGTACAAGTGAATGAAATGGTTCGTGTATAAAATTAGCTGTGGAATAAAATCCCATGTAGAACAATTATAGAAAAGTACTTTTGATTCACTAAAGTGGAAGTCTGTATCCTTTTTTGCATTCATACTAATGTCATACATAGAATTACAAATATCATTTTGAGTCTCCTTGTTATCAAAGACTGGGAAGCCTCAGGACTTCTGCACTTTTGCACCCAAGTCTGATCTGTCTCAGGATCAGGTGCATTGGCCAGCACTTATCTGTCACTGCCTTCTACTAGGCAAAGCCTAGGAGAAATAAATGACTTGAAATATCTCTGTCAGTGTTTGACATTCATTTAGTTTTTAATATTGAAATATTTAACATTTGCTGAGCACTTAGCAAGTACCAGGCAAAGTACCAGGTGCTGGAATACAAAATGGAATAAGGCATGGTGTCTACCCTTGAGGAATTCACACTAATAAGGTTTAATACTTACTTTAAGCAGGTTTAGAAACATATTACTTAATAGGTACGATGTCAACCTATTCTTTTTTTTTTTTTAAGGATTTCACCCCCCAGGGC